TTCGTGAGCAGCAGTCTCGTGCGTGGAAACCGCTCCTCGTAAAAGGTTCTCGATATCTATACCCATAGTGACCACCAGGCCATTCTGTGGGGGATAAACGGGGATCCGAAGCGGGGGGTAACACCACTCAAGACAAACACAAAAGGCTGGAGAGTCAAGCAGTTTGACGCGGACCTCTTCCGCGAGGCACTCGACACCCGCCCCATCAAAGATGATGACGCGGTGGCAAAAGTGGAAGAAGTCATGCAGAGGGTGACTGATGCATGCGAAGCCACAATGCCACGAAAAAAAGATGTGGATCGCCGGCCTTCGGTACTCTGGTGAAGCGAGGGGATTGCCGACCTTTGCAAGAAGTGCCATCGAGCTCGGCGGCTAGCCCAACGGGCTCGGGGCAAACCCACGTTCAGTGCGCTGGAGAACAGGTTTAAGGAGGTAAGGCGGAAGCTCAAAAAGGCCATCAACCAAGCGAAGGAAAATAGCTTGAATGACCTTCTTAACGAAGTCGACAGTAATCCATGGGGCAGACCGTACAAGGTCGTAATGACTCGGCTGAAAAGCCAGCCAATGCCACCGCCTACCTGCCCGGAGCTGCTAAAGAGGATTGTGTCTACCCTCTTTCCGGAACAGCAGGAGGAGGATTCCGACATCGTGGAGAGCACCGATGAAAATTTTCCGCCCATCACGGAAGAGGAGTTGCTCGCCGCAACATCAAAGGTGGGCAACAACAAAGCTCCCGGCATGGATGGAATCCCAAACGTGGTCTTGAAGACAGCCGTCAAGGCAGCACTAGTGATGTTCCTGGACACGTATAATGCGTGTCTCAAGGAAGGAACATTCCCTGAGAAGTGGAAATGGCAGAGATTAGTGCTCCTCCTATCGTCCACTGTGCATGCTGGACACAGCCGGCAAAATCTTTGAGCGGATTATCCATAACAGGATTGAGAAGGTCGTTGACCCTTTGCTGGCGATGGACCAGTACGACTTCAGGAGATCGCGCTCTACTTTAGATGCAATCAACAAGGTGGTGAACAGAGTCAAAAAAGCTATCCCGGGAAAAAGATACACGAGGAGATCGAAGCAGTACTGCTTGATCGCCACCCTCGATATAAAGAATGCCTTTAACTCAGCGACATGGAAGTGCATCATGGAGGCCCTCAAGAGGCTCAATGTCCCATAGTACTTTCGGAGAATAGTGGCAAGTTACCTGTGTAACAGGTTTCTCATGTACGACACAGAAGATGGACCGAAGACGTATAGAGTGACTGGAAGAGTTCCTCAGGGCTGTGTACTGAGACCTCTTCTGTGGATCATCATGTACAATGCGCTTTTGTTGCTGAGGCTCCCGCGTGAAGTGTGCCTTGTAGCCTTTGCAGACGACGTAGCGGTGGAAATAGTAGCAAAATTACTGGAGCAAAACATCGCCATCTTCGAGGAGATTTTCTTGGAGATAGGGAAGTGGATGTCTTCTGTCGGACTGCAGCTCGCAGAACACAAGACAGAGGCCCTCCTCATATCCAGCAGGAAAGTAACTGAGATAATTAAGCTCAGAGTCGCCAAAAACGAGATCACATCTCAGCCGTTCATTCGGTATCTTGGGGTGATCCTCGACGCTAGGCTCAATTTTAAAGAGCATGTAGAGCAAATCAGCACCAAAGCCTCTGTGGTGGCGACTACATTGTCTCGGCTTGTGCCCAATGTTGGTGGCCCCAGACAGAAGAGGAGACAGCTGCTTGCGTCAGTTACTACCTCGGTGCTCACCTATGGTATACCCATATGGGCTGATGTACTGCTGATAAAGGAGTACCGCAGGAAAGCTGCAGCGCCCTATAGGGTCAGTGCCCTGAAAGTAACCTGTGCTTATCGCACAGTCTCCGAGGACGCCATCAACGTCATCGCGGGAATGCTGCCAATTGAGCTGCTGGCTAAGAAATGGAGGGCGCTGTACCAGCAGGAGAAGTCGGCGGAGGCCAGGATCGAGACAAGAAAAGCCAGTATCAACTGCTGGCAAAGGATGTGGGATATCTCCACAAAGGAACGGTGGACACACCGGCTAATCCCGAATGTGGAGAAATGAGTGAGCCGACCGCACGGGGAGCTCACCTATTATCTCACTCAGGTGCTCAGGACACGGCTGCTTCTGGAAGTACCTTTATAAATTTAATTATGAAGATGCCCCGGACTGCCCAACGTGCGCAGGTGTCGAGGAGAACGCTGAACACGTATTCTTTGAGTGCCCGCATTTTGGTGCCTCTCGAAACATCGTCGAGGACCAGTTAAACACACGTCTGACGCCGGAAAACTTGGTGGAACAGATGCTTTTGTCAGAAGCAGCGTGGAAGGTGATTGGTGCCTATGCTGCCCTGGTCATGAAGAAGTTGCGCCGAGTAGAGCGTGAAAGGAAGAAGACAACGCCGGAACAACAGGCAGGCGAGGAAATAACAAGTGACGCCAACCCCTGATCCACTCAGACCATCCAGAGTGGAACAGGGAAGAAACGTGACTTGAAAATGCTAGAGGAAGAGCTGAGGCTAACGGCTTCTTCCGCGAGGTAATACCTCACGGTGGTACCGCGGGAGAAATCACAAGGTCACAGACGGAGGTTTAGGGTCTTAGTCGGTATAGTTTGTCCACGAGTCCGACACTCTGTGCGTAACAGCATTTCCCCCCTCAAGAAAAAAAAAACAATAAAAAAAAAACACACACACATATATATATATATTGTTACGCGAGGGTCACCGCGTATGTGTCGCGGGAGCCGCGTGAACGGCGCGCGCTCGGCGCAATTGTTCGTTGCTGAGCGACGATGGTTGTTGTTGAAAGAGAAGAAGTAACAGAGACGCGAAGCTGTCACGACGCATTCATAAATCCGGTTGGATTCTTTGTGATAATTGCTGTATCTTGAGCCGTAATAAAGTGTTTATTAAGAAGCCGCGTTCTCTCATTTCCGCGGGGCGAGTGCGTGTTTCGCGACGTAGTTTTAGCGCGGCCGCGAACGCAACAATATATAGGCATATTTTCCGCACAACATCTTGCGAACGGCTCTGTACGACTACATATACATTTATTTATTAGATTAAAGACTTCAGAGCCCGAGATGATTCATTTATTGTAAAAAATTTCAATTCAAAATTTCAATAATCATATGTAAAAATTTACACTCCTAAAACTATACATATATATTCAAATATATTTATACCGCAAAACATCCAGCGTATCGGCTTTTACTACTTGTCAAAATTTCGCAGTTAGCTATAATTATTTTTGTCAAAAATAGAATTATGTTTTAGAAGTGTTTATGATAAATAATAATAGTGTATAGTTTTTACAAGCAAGTAAAAATATATATAATGAAATGTATAGAATTTCGTATATAACTTCAACATATTTAAATTCATGTAATTAAACCAATTATATCTTTATTTTTTTATTAATCAAGCATAGCAAAAAAACACAGTAAATATATACACAATATTCATAAAGAAAGCTGGAAGATATAGAGAATGGAATGACTATTAGACAAGTATAAGTTAACAATGTATAATGTGCCTAAAAGTACGTCCTATTAGAACCATAACAATAAAAATATATTGTAAAAAAGAACCAAGAACATCTTTAATTCTCTCCAAAAAAAACAAAAAAAAAAAAACTTGAAAACTGGATATTTTATTGCTGTCAGAGAGGTTTTCCTGTGACTAAAACACAACTATACAACTTGATAGTAGTTTACTAATAATTGAATTAAAACAAGAACAAGTTTTAGTTATATAAACAAAAACAATATTTACATAAAAAATATGAACAAAAAATAATATTTACACAAAAATTTTAATAAATTTCCTTGAATAGTTTATAAGAAATGATTTACATATTATTTGTCCGTTTACTGAGACAACATAATTCAGATACTAAGACATGCACTTTAGGTTGTCCGTTTACTGGAACATTTGCACATTTTTGTAGTATCATTATATACACAATAAATATGCCTAACGTAATTTAGAAATTTAATTGTTGTAGTTTTCTTTAGTTAGTAATTGTATTCATTTGTAATGAAACAAAAATTGTTTACTTTTATGATACTTTTACATTATTTACATTAAATCACCAGATACTTTGCCGCTATTCTTTAAGCGTCCAGATACTAGGACATTTATCTTATATTACGTTACAGTCGATCAAAGTTGTAACAAATTAATTGTTCAGTTATAAACTGTAATTTTAGTTTTCATAAGTTTTATAAAAATTAAAATAAAATAATAGGTAGAAGGAAACAAACAGCGTGAGATATAAACGTTACAAAAATAAACGCGGCAAAAATTGTAATTTTAGTCTTTAATCCGGTCAATTTTTTTCAAAACTGATTTGTAGTAATATTTCTTATCTCGTGCCTAGCATTAATATTATTCATTCTGACGGGATCGTAGCGAAGAAAACAGCAGCGTCATCAAAATGTCAAAAAACGCGCACAAATTTGTAACTAAAGATACACACAAATCAGGCAACACGCGAATCCTTAGAGTGAGTGAAAAAAAGTTAAGTTGAAAAGGCGTAATGTTACCTACCTACAACAGACGACGATGTTAACAAAGTACACTAACCTCCGTCAGTGATGTTCACAAAAATTTAACGATTGGCTAATTTCTGTTGTCAATATGAAACATTTCAAGGTGTTCGAAATTAAGTAGGTATACCTAACCTACTTTGAAAAGATAGAAAAGAGCAGAGAATGTAAGAAACGTAATGCAAAGGGAAATGCAGAGGTGAGATAAAATTCTGAGAAAGAGAGAAGGAAAATAGAAAGAAATAGATGCAGAGAGTGAGAAAGCTGGCAAGCACGGGCGAAAACCAAAAGAGAAATGCCGAGAGGGAGAGTACAGGATACGAGACACGAGGGGAGTAGTAGCAGCAGCGGTTCAGGAGCGAGAGTAGCGGGGAAGGGTCGCGGCTTCGAATCAGGGGTTGCTTTCAGAGGAGCACGCAGTGCTCTCTCGTCTCGCGAGTCGGAAATACGGTAGAGGAACGTGGTGTACTAATTCGCGAAAATAGAACACAGTCTTCTCTTGGTGCTCTAATCTTCGTAGTTCTTTTCCTTCGTTCCCGTCAAAAAGCGCAAAAATCGCAGAAAGCGTTAGTCGATAGTAGTTATCTTTTTTTCTCCTTTCATCTTCTTTCTCGCACTTAAAATCTGAACGAGACACTCGGGGATGAGACGACAGCTGATTAATACATTGGGATTTAAGACCAGGTGGAAGATCAAAGGCTAGCACTCGCAGAGAGGCTGACGACGTGAGATATTCTTCTATATTGTCACAAGATAATCTCTAATCGGAAAAGTTCTTGCGTTATATACGCTGATTAAAATCACACAAAAAATAAAAACAGTTAATATTTCCAAAAATATTACATATATCACGATTGATTCATCCTCCGGAAAAATTAGTGCAGTGAGATTTGATCCAAATATACAATGCTGATGTGTGTGTGTGTGTGTGTGTGTGTGTGTGTGTGTGTGTGTGTGTGTGTATGTGTGAAGCTCTCAGAGAATTCATCTGATAGTTGATTTGCAGTTATTTCTTGTTTGACAGAAAGAATCGTTAGCAAATCGCTTTTCTTCATTTCTAAATTTAAAAAGACGAATCGTGAAAGACAACTGATTAAGTAAGCCGATTAACATATGTCATTCGTAAGGCAAGCGAATAAAAATAATTTACAACAGAACTTTTGTGAAAACAATGAGAAATTAAATTTCTATTCCTTTTATAATTTATTTATTTTTATATAATTTGTTTTTATAGATTTGTATGCATAATTTAAAAATAACATCGCCAAAAAAATTGATTTGTTACATCAAGTGATTCAACAAGATTCCGTTTTATTTTCAATTTATGTGATAAGAAAAAATTATATTAAATATAATATTTAAATACAAATGTTTTTGAGTTAGTTTTAATAAACATATGTGGTTTAGTAGTATAGAAATAGTTAACGAAAGTGGAAAGATTAACGTTCTATAGAAGAAATATAATAAGATTCATAATGAGATTCTCGCGTTGAAAGTGGAGACAGTGACATCTCTTCTACAGTGAAGTAGCACACGTTTAGGATTTTCCTTGTGTTTGTCACGTATTGTTAATGCCAGAACGGCAAAATCTGAGGAAAGGCGTTCTCAAGCTTAGACCCACATCTTACCCAGCTAATTGCGATTACTTATTGTAAAAGTCGCATTTAATGTACCAAAAATTGTAATGAGTGTAGTAAAGAAAGACGATTTATTTAATATAATTCAAACAATAGAAAGTACAAAAAAATTTTCATATAACTAACTTTTTTTCATCAAAATGCTTTTCTTGGTATTCTTTTTAATGCCTGTAAGAGTTTTTATCTCAGATTTGACTAAGAAATAGAAATTTTCGACACTTTACACAATATTTGTGAATTTTTTACATAGAAAATATAGGACGCGATCATGCGGAGCTATAAACAAACGGCCGCTGCATACGGCAAGTCTGAAAAGCAATTTCGTCAAGGAGGCTTCCTTCCTTCGTTGATCTGGAACCGTGCGAGGTACCTTACGTTGCTATTTGTCGAGCTCGTAGGAGAGTTTGTCTTTCCAGGTCGCGGGTTGTGCTTTATTTAATTATTCCTTTCTGCGCGCGCGCGCACATACATTCGCTCAAATTGCGTTGTTGAGTTGGATCTTCCTTCTTGTGTAGCAACGAAGATTCCGATTAAACTTCGAGTTTGGTCAATTTGACCGGCGAATTATGTTCGAAAAAATCAGATAAGAAATATCTAAGAATGTGGTCAAATGCAAAAATCTATAAATTTAAACAAGCAACGCTAATTTTCATCCGAATAAAATGTTTCATCAAAAAAACGTGCATTCCGGTTGCAAACTTAATATACTTATTTGTTATCTTGCGCGCCGACTTTGTAAAATATTTGTCGATTCAATTTATAGTTCCGTGTAAAATCAGATCTAATTAAACGCGGTAGCCAACAAGAAAATATAATTTTTTCGCAATATTTTAAAAATTAGTTAGGGGGGAGTATACAGGGTCTTCCATATATGTGATGCAAACCTAGGATCCTATATGTTTTAAAGAATTGTTATTTCAGTTCAAAAAACTCACGTGAAAAATTTACGTGAATACATATATATATAAATGGATACATACGTGTATATACGCACATCATTTCCGCAAAACATCCTGCGATCGGCTCCTACTGACCGGACTTACATATTATTCATTAAGTTTGATACTAAAGAAGCCCAAGATAATTCTCTATTATTTAACATTTGTAAGAAATATAATTTAGTTTTTTTCGCGTTCCTTTATGTCTGTCGTGTCACTGCTTCGGAAACGCGCCAATAGAGTCACGCTTTTTGCTAGGTCGCGGACTAATTTTGATATAAATTTGCTTTTGTCGGAAAGAGATCAAAAAGGAAGACCCGTCTGTTCTTCTTGATATAGAGTTTAACTTTATCTAATTTTTATGTTGTCTTTGTTTGTAGGGAGCCAGATAGTATAAAAAAAAATTAATTCGAAATACAATTTAATTTTAAATAATCGAAGTGAACTGCAAAAAGCACGTGTGTATAAATTTTTGCCTGAAAATTTATATTTTTGCTTTAAATTGTCTAAATAAAGAATAATTATATATAAAATAATGTATAGAATAATTATATATATACTCAAACTATTACTCACTGCAGCAATACTGATAAAACAGTGTCGTACTAAAGCGTATTTAATGTCGTATCAAATCGAAGATCAACCAGTTAATTTCATTCGAAGCAATTAAACTTTTTGATTTTGATGTAATTAAATTTGTGTTCAATTAGCTATTGATTACCACAATTTTTTTCTCACGCACTTATAATGCAATTAATTTAATCTTGTTTCTGCTTCTTGGGGTCTCATAAATTTTTGTTCTTCTTGTCTTTTCGAGTCACAAAAACAACATAAACAATAAGTCCAGCAAACTTTCTTTTATAAAAGAACGTGAATAGAGTTACAAAGAGAGGACTAATTTTGCAACAAATTTACTCTCATGAGTAAATTTGTAATCTGCTGAGAGAGAGAAAGAGAGAGAGAGGAGCAATAGAATCTGTAAAATTTTATCAACAGCCGAAGTTGGTTCTTTCTATTCGCGATGGCGAAAACAAGGAACGATTTCCGTGTCATGAACTTTCACCAAACGAAACAGTTCGGCCCGGAGCTGATGAAGTCGAGGACTCAATGGAAACTTCAGCGCACGGAACGTGCGGATGGTTACGTTCAGACGCAATCGGCAAGTTTTCCTCAGTGCTGGTGTCGATTGTATCCAGAGAGTATAAAACGAAATTCTGCTTTGATCAGACTCAATTCTAATGCTTGTCCGAATTAACGCTCGCTCGAGTGCAAAAAGCTGTAGTTGCAAGCTATACTTAAAGTGCCCAAAGCCTTTTGTTTCAATTATAATTATACAAACAATAGTTGAAACTTATTGGATTTTGTTACCTAGATGTAATTTGTTGAAAAATAGTTTATTTATTTATTTTCTTTTGTTGTAAAGTAATCTAAACTGTAAGAAGACTGATCAGTTTGATTATAGTAAACAATATAATTTGATAAATGACTTTTATTATATTCAATATTAATTTAGTGATTAATAGAAACTTTGTGAAAAGAGAAAAAAAGGCAAAATTGATTCAATTAAAACATTTGAGTTTTAATTTAAAGATATTAGTTAGATATATCGATAGAAATAAATAAAATCAGCAGTCATGATATTCTGACTGTAACTGACGCAATATTATAACGTTGATATGTTAGACCAAAAAAATAGGATAGGTTCAAACAATTTCGCCGATCGTAGTTTCTTGATGCATGTTTCCTTTACCATCGTTAATCCGAATATGAGTTCGTACACTTGACGTCACGTACGCCACAAAAGCTCCTCGGAGAAACGCTGAATATATCAACAATGGCTCAGTGAGTACGGACGCTAGCTGTGTACTATGACTAGCAAAATTATGCAAAAGCGTCCGTGTATTGAGCTTGACGTCAGTTTGATGTTCAATCTCACTTTATGCACATGTCGCTCACGTACTATTAAGCTGTAACTTTAAAATATTTATATTATTTCTCTCTCAGTAATAAAAACCGTCACTTTAATCGATGTAAATCGTAAAAGGTTGCAAAAACGAATTTATTTTACTTAAAACTATTTTTTACATTTATCTTGCTTATTTTGCGGGAAATGCAAACATTTACCTTAGTTCATTTTTTATTCTTTTAATTCTCATGTGACGTTAAATTTCCTAAAACATCTCGTAGAAGTTAAGAAAAGATGTTAAATTTTTTTCTGTTCTTGAGCAAGTACACCGCTTTTGTATATCTGTGTTAGAAAATTAAACTTCTCAGGGCTTCTCTGTCGTGCAGGAGAATCACGGCGCGAACACGAGGAGCTTTATAAGGCAAGCATAAAGTGCGATAATATACGATGCTCTTTTCCCAGAGGATACCTCTCAAGACCTAGCCCCCCCCCCCACCTTGTCCGAATCGATTCAAAATTATTGCAAAATTACGAGCTATTTATGAGCTTTTGAACCCACCAAAGTAAAATTTTTGAGCTCGTTTACGGGAGCAGGAATTCCAAGGTTTCGGTGGGAGACTGAGTCCCTTTGGACTGCGCCCCCCGCCACTTAAAACTGCAGATATCGAATTGTTTTTTGCGCCAGAATTATGAGCTATTTATGAGCTCTTAAATAACCCTACTTTAGATTTTTGAGCTGCAACCCCTGGCGCGCAAAACTGCCCCAAAGTATTTTTGCAAGAGACAAACTACTCTTTCCTATACACAAAAGAAATACTTGCTACGCAAATATAACACGAACACCTACAAATAAAAAAATACACACATTCCGACTTTTACAGACCGTCCCCAGAAAAAGAATTCCACTTCTTAAAACAATTTACAAGAGAAAAGTACTCTAAAAATAAAACAACCAGCGTAGTTCATAAGGAAATCACGTTTCCTCATTTATGAGCTCACAAAATACACATGATGTTTGATTTGCTCTAAGATTTATTACGTTATTTGATTTTTAAAAATAAGTGGTCTATATCTCCTTGAGAACAATAGTTTTTTATATTTCAAATTTAACATACATAATTGTTACATGCCTGTACATATAAATAAATAAAACTAAAAATAAATAATTAACTAACTACATTAATAAAATAATTTGTTCTCTGTACGATTTTATTGCTAAACAGCAATTACATCTTGTAGATTAT